TTGTGTCTGCTCGCAGTGTCTGTGCCGTCGCGTCTATGACGCCTTTGAATGCTCCTGCACTGTCACCAACCTGGGCTGTCACCAACCTGTGCACGTCCTCATGCGCACGCACACAACTGTATGTGACTGTGTGACGCACCACCATGCACACAACGACAGCACAAGGTGATGGAGTCTGTGCTGAAGCGTGACGAGAAGTTGGACGACCTCGTCGCCAAATCCGACCAGCTCTCCGCTTCGGTGCGTCGCGCCATCGTGTGTGTGTGTGTGTGTGTGTGTGTGTGTGTGTGTGTGTGTCTGTCTGTCTGTCTGTCTGTCTGTCTGTGTGTCTGTGTGTCTGTGTGTCTGTGTGTGTGTGTGTGTTTGTCTGTCTGTGTTTGTGTGTCTGTCTGTGTGTCTTCTGTGTCTGCGTCTGCGTCTGACCAACTGTCTGTTGTGTGTGTCTGCGGAACGCCGCTTCGGGTGCACTGTTGATGTTGCGTCTCCGTTGCTAGCGCCAACACATCTGCCCATCATCCCATGCCCCCCCCCCCCTTCACCCTTTCTTCATCCATGCGTGCAGGCCAAGATGTTCTACAAACAGGCTCGCAAGACAAACAGCTGCTGCAACGTCACCTAACACCGACACCACCACCACCGATGTGCCTTGTCCCCTTTTCCTTTGCTCGCTTTGTTTCGCCATTACTCAAAACCAACACACGTGCACCGGCGCATGCTGCCATGGTGTGCTGTGTGTGTTTGTGTTGTGTGTGTGTGTGTGTGTGTGTGTGTGTGTGTGTGTGTGTGTGTGTGTGTGTGTGTGTGTGTGTGTGTGTGTGTGTGTGTGTGTGTGTGTGTGTGTGTTTGTGTTGTAGACATGAGCGGGGGCATGTCTCGGCTGCGGGCAAGTCTACTTTGTTGGCATTGCCTGTCTATGGCCCCCATAGGCGTGGGATAGTTGTGAAAGCCCCTCACCAAGTTTGTTCGCGTATTCGCGCTCGGACCACTTGTGTGGATTGTAGACGCTTGGATCCAGGTTGGTGCCTGTTGTTCCATTCAACATCACAAGCATACTGAACAAATGAGGACACTAGCTCACAAAACCAAAGCCTGCACAAGCACTCACACGCTCACTCACTCACTCACATACACACTCACATACACATACTCACCCAACACTCTCACTCACACACAATTCCCTGACCGAATTCGTCAATGTTCATGCGCTGGATGAGCTTTTCGTAGATGCTTGGGTTTCGGTATTGCTTGTTGCAGGTGATCTTGTTGAGGATGCTGATGTTTCGCGCCCGCTTGGCCTGGAGCAGCATCGCCACCTTCTCTGCCACCCGCGGTTCTACCGCTGCTGAGAAGAGAACATCGAAATTGAAAACAGGCAGACCATCGCTGTGAGTGTGAGCACGTGTATCGGGCATGTGGCAGGGTGTGTCAAGCGTGCGATGGGCTGTCCAGGCAGATGATGTCGTTCGCCCAATTCACAATACGCATGCTATCATACACTCGCCCATCCATCCATCCACGCACGCACACACACACACACACACACACACACACACACACACACACACACACACACACACACACACACACACACACACACACACACACACACACACACACACACAAACACACACAGCAACCATCGTACCTGACGGTGCTTCGCTGCTCTGTGATTGCTGTCCCTCCGAAGGTTCCATCTCAGCCTCGCCTTGCCTTGCAGCACTTTCCAGCTTTGCTTGCTTTGCAGGCGGTTCAACAGCACCAGGTGCCTGCGCTGTGTCTGATGCTTCTTCTTTCCTATGTCCTTGTGTGTCTCCGTCCTTTTCACCCAGTCCATGTTGCTGCTGCTGTTGCTGTTGTTGTTGCTGCTGCTGTTGGTTCTCCTGCTGCAACACTGGCTTCTGTCCTTTCTCCTCCTCCTCCACCTCTTCCTCCGAAGACGAGTCGTAATCCGCCACCAGGCTCATCGCTGTCCGCTGCGCTCGCGCTGCTTGTGCTGTCGCTGCCTGTGCTGTTTGTTGTCTGTTCGTTCGTTGTTCGCTGCTGTTGTTGTTTTGTATCCGCTGTTGTATCCGTTCGCTCGAGTGCTTAAATGTGCATGGAATCCCTCGAATTCGCCATAGGAACGACGAACGGACACAAAGCAAAGCAAAGGAAAAAGCAAAGCAAAGCGAAAGCAACCACGAAACAACAACAGGAGCCAGCGACAAACAACAAGAAGCACCACGACCACAACAGCAGCAAGCAGAGGACAGCAGGCGCATGGACGTCGTTGTTTGGCATGGAACAGCATGAAGGCTGGCAGGGCGTGATCCCTGGGAGTGCGCAGCCTCATCGGCACCGCCCGCTTTCCCCTCGCCTCGCGAGTCAGCCACGACCACGACCACGGCGGCGGCGGCCAACGTCGCTGTCGTCGTCCCCGATGGGCTCCGTGGCGTCGCCCAAGAGACCGCCCACGCACGTCTTCGACCGCATCAGCCGAGCCGGTGGCATCAGCGATGGT